CCTTCTGGAAAGAAGGCAGTGTGTTTAATTTCACTTAATAATGTAGTGCATAGAAAGGCAGGCTGTAGAAATCCTGAGAGGGCTGACATGAGGTCTCCTTAGCTTACATCCTGAATTTTTCTGTTCAGTTGACAAGTATTGCACAGTCACATTTCAAAAGGAGCACAACTGCCAGATAAAACTTGTTCTGGCATCCCCGTCGTCTTGATAATGGTCAGCACTCTCATGTGTTCTTCATTTTTGACTGGTTGAACCTATTCACAGTGGCTCCCTGTGCTCAGGAAGAATAGATCAGTGGTGAAAATGATGCCTGGTCTCAGTGCTGTCATTATGTCAGATAAGAACTGAGGCCCCAGAGTGATAAGGTACTTTACAAATCGTACCTCAAGAAGTAGGAGATAGAGGCAAGCTGAACACCAGCAAGAGTGGACTCATTCCAAACATACTTTCTTTTTATCCTCTAATCATCCTTATTTGATTCTCTTTGTTCCTCTCTCCTCCAAGGAAACAAAATGTCAGTGTGGTCCTTTCCAAACCAGGAACAAATAAGGTTCAATTGAATGTTTTGCCAGAACCAATAAACAGCAGTGACGGAAGCCGTGTTAAAATCCTATCTTTTTTAAAAACACAAAAGGAGAATTAGTATGGCCTAGTTTATGGTGAAATCTGTTAATTTTCTGAAGTATGGTGTCATGAAAAATTTTAGAAGGATCCCAGGAGTTGATACAAACCATCTGAGCTCAGAGCTGCAGATTTGCAAAGGCATTCCACTGTCTCTGATGAAAGGAATCAACAGTATGGAGATGGAAAGAACAATAATGTGGGTAATAGAAAGAAATCTGTTGCAAGTACAAGTAGAACCAGAGATTTTTCCCGATTTAGTGAGTATTTTTACCCTACAAAAGAGACAAACTCCTATCCACTCCTCAAAACATAAAGAAAGAAACCAGGGCAGATGCTGATGAGAAAACTTCAGTGATGATTTACTTGTTTTTGAATCCTAAAGCATTCATAACTCAAAGTATCTTGAAGCTTGAGAACAGCTGTACTTGGAAAAAAGAATTGGTCATAGGTGAGTCAAAGAGATTTTAATGTGATTTTTGCCTTTGGTTTCTAAATAGGTGAGGTCTAGGTGAGGTCTAAGGTCAAAAAGTTGCTGGTACTTTGAAACGAGCATCCACCCAATGTGAATCACCGGCTCTTGCATGGAAAAATTGTGATGATAGGGGATGTGGGCATCAGATTAAATACATCGCTCAGTTCCATCTCTAGGTTTAACAGGTTTTGCTGTGACCTCCCAATTAAAATCAAATAAACAGGTGTATCTCTTTAGTGTAAGTCCTGAATTACACAAAAATGGAAAATAGGCTAAAAACATACTTTGTTTTGGCAACACTATTTATTATGTTATATACAGCAAGGCAAAATAAAGTATTCATGTGAATCAGACTTGCTTTGAAAACAGTGGTGTTTTTAATGTAGATGCCTAAAATAAGAGTGTTCAAAGCAGGTTGGATGCCTCAATATTTTACTTCGTTTAACCCATGGGAGACCTGCCAAATAAATGTGGCTTTCTCCATGTTTATTTTTCCTGGCTTATTTGGTGTATAGGTCTAGTAGGTATTTTGTATTTATTTTCCCTTATCTGTGCCAACTTACACTCTTGCCTCTCCTTTTTGTTCTTTACAGAGAAGTCCAGACCAATTACTCCTAGCTGATGCAAAAAACAGAATATAGGAAAAAGCCTTCTCACGTTTTTATCTGATAATGAAATAATTGCAAGTAGTGAGAAGGAGCCTAAAATGTAAAAGTTGTATGACTGGATGTGGAACATAGGGGTCACTTTGTGAACAAAGAGCAGAAATTCTACAAAACAAACAAACAAAACAACAATAACGACAATACAAAACAAACAAAAACCACATCATGTTGATGTTCTGCATAGTAAGAAAACTCTAAGGCTGCTGTATAATACAAATCGTTCAAATCATTACAAACAGATTTATGTAGATTTCCAGTACAAGAGGCAGTATATCTTCAACATTTTTTTTTTTTTCCTTTTTATGGATATTCAATAAAATTCACAGAGAAGCTGAATGCAAATGAATGGATGTGAATTGATGCCTCTGAGTGTTGGCAAAGCAGATTAAGTTATTCTCAAACCACCAGTGAGGCATACACTTGTACTTTTAGCCCTGAGTATCTCCAGTAAGTGTGACACCATTTTGGGGGGAATTATAGTTCTCTTCATTCTTGGAAGAACCTGGTCTTTGGGTCCAATCAAAAAAACAGCTATAATATTGTGGGGCTTCCCTAGGTGCAAGGGTAGTTCAATAGATATGGGATGCGGGATGAATTCTGCAGGGGCTCCTACAGTTATGAACCTTATTATCAGTCTTCTGTCCAGCAACATGGCCATACCTCTGCCAGATTTAGCTTAGTCCCCCATGACAAGAGGCTAACATAGGTAAAAAAACAACTCCAGCAAAGGATTTGATTTTCCAGATACAAATCTTGTGTCCTCAACAAATAATCAAAAAAATGTAATCCTATTTTTAAACTTTTTAACCACTGCATTGTTTTTGCTTGCTTTGAAATGAAGTTATCTCAAAAAGATCATACTATTTCCAAGCCTACTGTGACCTCTGGAAATAGATCCAGAATCAGAAAGTATGGATATGTCAGGTCTCATCCTTTTCTGATTATAACATTCTAAGAGTAAGCGAAGTTTAGCAAAATTTGGAGTCTAGTCAAAATACATCATAACTTTAGCCCAAACTTAATTTAAAGACCAGCATTTTATATTTCCTCTTGGGAACCTAACTATCAATTACTTTCATTGGGTGATTTTTCAAGGCTCTCTTCTCTCTGGTGACTGGTGATAGGACCCAATGGAATGGCATGAAGCTGTGCCAGGGGAGGTTCAGGCTGGATATTAGAAGGTTCTTCACCGAGAGGGGTGGTCGGGCACTGGAATAAGCTCCCCCGGATATGTGGTCATGGCACTGGGACTGCAGGAGTTCAGGAAGTGTTTGGACAACACTCTCAAATGCATGGTTTGATTTTTAGGTAGTCTTGTGGGGAGTGAGGAATTGGACCCTATGATCCTTGTGGGTCCTTTCCAACTTGATATATTTTATGTTTCTATGAAAGTACTGTTCTCTGTGTTCTGTGGATGTTAAACAAATGAAGTCCTACCTTTAGCTGCAATGTCACTGAATATATCCAAGGATATCACTCTGTCTTAGATATTTAAAAAATAAAATAGATATGTATTGAGTTCAGGAATATATTCCTAGATAGGATATTGCTGCTACTTTTACAACAATTTAATTCACAATTTCTTTTTAAACTATCTCTATTATTTCATTACAGATGAAAATCATAAAAGTAGGATAAGTAGAAGGTATTTTTTCTCTGTTATGTGAGAAAAATCTCAATAATTTTCTTCAGACAGGAAAGAGGGAGAGAACTATGTGCAAATAATATCGTGTTTAATTTTAACTAAGTTAGGGCAAGCTTCACCATCTCAGTTAAAATTAAGAATGAAACACCCTATGTGTACACAGAGTGTTTCACCTTCAAGAATCTCAGAACACTTTAAATAAACTGAAAACTCTTCACCCCATGTAGTCGCAGTGCTGCTCAAAGATACAATGAAGCTGTTGTTCAGCTGCATGTAGAAACGCTACATACCAGGGGAGGGTAGGAAGTTAAGAATAATACAGTATATTCAAATATAACTTTTAGGAGTATTTAGGTAGGCTGAATGTAGCTACCTGGAATTTGGCCACAAAACTCAGCTTAACAGCCCTGCTCTTGTGAAAAGTGGAATAAGATCTTTAATTTTTCCATTCCATTTCCATTAATCACCCCAAGTGGTCATGAGGTTTTCCATCCCAGCCAGCAGTCAAGCTTTCCAGCAGCATGCTTCCTTTTGACAATACACATTACCAGGGCGCTAGATCAATGCTGCTTCAGTTCACAGTGCCTCCTACTGTATCCCTAACCCAATTTCCCTTCAAGTCATGACTCTCCATCTAAATACTGACCAGCCCTCCTGACCACCTAGACGATGATCTAAGGGTTCAAAAAATGATGATACGAGCTGAGAGCCTGTATCATCTTAGAGAGGCCTTTAATTCATCTTCAGGAAATCTTTTAGAAAAATTTTACTTCTCTGACAAGCTAGGTTTGACATAAAACAGCAATTACCCCAATATATAGTAATTTACTATTTGAAACATGCAGCAAATTTAGATAATAGAAAAGAGCTGAAACTAGGAAGGCTGATTTTTTTTTAAACCAAATGACCTTAGGTTCTTGGGGGTCTTTGCTGGGTTCTGAATCCAATTAGTATCTGTACATAAAGAAAAAAAAAGCCAAATAGCTAGTGCATAGCATACAGAGGCAAGAAGACAAAAAATTGATGGTATATGGCATAATAGGGGAAGAGTTCTGTAGTTGAAGGCACAAAGATATATTGAGAGATATATGGAAATATGTTGCTGTGAAATTAAAATTCATGCTATCTAAATATCTTCCTTGCCCAATAATAATACATTGATACAGGTTAAATTTTTTTTTTTTTTAATTAATTAAGTAATTAGAGGCCAATATTTACATTTCTGTTCAGAGATTCATGTTTCAAAACATTCAGAATAATTGCTGGTGCCTGATTTAAGGGATGTTCCTAATTGGAGAGTCATGTACTCTTGGTTAAAAAATTATCTTTTGCATCTTGCTTTTGTTTCAGTCACAGGACGTTATGGTCCCTGTGTATCCTAAACTGGCATTTGTTTAAGTGTCATCTCTTCAGGCTGTTTTACTTTGTAGCAACACACACAAGTGAAATCCCATATTTACAACCACATACTTTGCATCTGGAACTAGAAAGGGGCACTGTAAGAACTGTGCAAATACAACATTTTGCAGATAAAGATTAATTTCATATAATTCATAATAGCTTATACTTGTAAATATATATATATATATATATATTTATTTTCAGCAATTCTAAGCAATTTACTATTGGTCTTTGCATCACTTGGAAAAGAAAAGGAAGAAATCCAACTTTTCATTTCTGAAAGAGGCTCTTATTCAGATTTTTTCCTCCCCCATCTCTATTTATATTTGAATAGTATCTTGACATCTACCATAAGAACAGGACTTTGTTCACTAACCATTACACATACTTAAACTCAGGAAAACTTTAAAAACCTCAGCTAAGCTTGGTAAAATTCATTTTTGATGCAAATTCACTGCTCTGAGACTGAGGCTATTGCTGCCTGGTATTGGAACACACTAGCCTGTGCTGAGCCCCATGGACTTTTGTGTCTTGTGTATAAGGCTGGGAGTTAATAATAAGGAACACAAACTTGAGACAGCTTGAAATTTTCCTGAGTTGGAATTTCTTCTACATTTTTTGAGCATCTCAAGAGAGATGGAAGAATGGCAATGATTTACTCTTCAAGGAGAGTTGACTTCAATGGGTATTTGCCTCCAACATCCCAGAATGCTTGGCTTTAGGGTATGATAAATCCAAGACAAACATTAAAAGTGATGGGTAAACCTGCCTGGCATTTCTCTTTTCTAAAGGCACTTCAGTAATAAAGTTTATTGGTAAACAGTGTTAGTAATAAAGTTTTCAAGTCAAAGTCCACATTTGCTTCATTCTGTAAAAAAGAATATGTAACAAGCCACCTTGAAACAAGGAACACTAATGTCACTTTTTCTGGAAACTTTATAAAAATATGAACAGATGGAGTTACTAAGGCTGGACAGAACTGATGCCCTTTAACCACTGGAGAAAATGACTGCTCACCTTTCTGTTACATGATTTCGTTATGTGTTTTAATGCAGTTTAATGTAGTTCATGTAGTCTAATTCATCTGTATTTGTTCATGGAAGAGCAGACTTTCACTCTGATGAAGGCTATCTATGCGTGTATTTAAATGATTAAAACAAACATTTTCAAGCTATAGTGCCAGGAATGAACCTCAGTAGACCCTGTGAGAGCTCAGCTCACTGTCTTAATGCCTAGCACTTCTGAAGATGAAATATTTATGCTGAATATGGATTACAAACAGCTGTGGTTGGGAAGTTCAAAAATGTGCGCACAAAATTTCGCTTCCAGTCCGTACTTCTTTGGAAGTCCCAGTATATTTGCCATCTGATCCTACCTCTTGGAGGTCAGTGGAAATGTTCTTGTTGACCTTTGTGGGCACTCTTGAGTTACCTACCAAGCAATCATTTAAAATAATCATCTAAAAATATTCTGCTTCATCAAATGTTTTTTTCCAAATAATTTCCCATCCATTAATAATAGTTTTCAAGCTCTTCTTTCATTGGGCCACTTTTATGTTGCTGAGTCATAACACTCAAGCTTTCCTCTTTATGGCTGTATTTCCTTAAGGCATACTCGTGGTGACATTTGTGCCAAGAGGCAAATAGGTCTGTGACAGGATCTGACCTTATGTAAATACCCGGAAGAGCCACTTCCCTTGAGGCAAATACTGAAGTGCACTTAAATAAGACTTGAAAAAGATGTTTTCCATCTGATGTAGCTCAACACAAGTATTCAGTGGTAGCCAGCTCAGATGAACTCTTTACATAGACCTGTAGCTCATGTCTCAGCATGGGTTTGTAGTTTCTTGTCCCATTAACATCATCCTGGTGTACATGCCTTTTTCAACAGTTTCCTGGGAAGAAAAATATTCAAACAGATGTAGCCAGGAAACCAACTACTAGCAAAGGTATCAGCAGAGACCAGTGCCTACCCCTCCTTCTGCTACACCTTCCCCACCAACAGGAGGGAAGATGGGGCAGCTTAACCTCAGCTGGGGAGCAAGGTGAGGAAAAAGCTCTTGCACAGGCAGACACTGGCTGCATCTGTGCTACTGGAGATCATGTTCCAGCAGAGACCATCATTTCTCCATTGCAGCTCGATGTGTAACAGGTTATCTTCAACAATAATGATGTATAAAGGGTTACCTGCTCAAGGATACATCAGTCTGTTACCTTATTCACACTGCAGCGAACTTAGGCTCATACCTTGTGCACTCCGAAGTAACACGCGCCTCTTATAAAATCATGTTCTCTGTCACAGGTGCTCAAATTCACTTTTCTCTGTTTCAAGGGCACCAGTGGTAGGAAATCAAAACTTTGCAGAAGTGTGTTTTTCCCAGTTCTCTGTTATTCCCAGAAGTTACCGTCTTCCTTCTGTCGTGTCTAACTTAAAGAAGCAGGTTGATCACTGCACAAGCATCGACTTGTAACAGGAAAAAGAGTCAGTGCAATGCCTTATCTCACACGTTATCTTGCAGCAAGCTGCTCTCAAAGGGCAGTCAGCCTGAACAGCTCGCTTTGTTGTCCGCAGAACAGAATCACTCTTCATTCCACTGTCTGCATGCAAAGATGAGGCTTCCAATTGCTTTGACAGTTTGGAGAAGATAAAAAAATAAAATAAAAAAAGGAAAACCAGAAAAAAAGTAGAGTTATATATTTCTGATGACTGAGGCATTAGTAAAAAGAAGATGAAGTATGTTTAAAATTTTCCTTGAAACATTGAGACACTACTGAATATTCTTCTTTTATAAACAGGTAAAATAAAACAAACAAACAAAACCCCCACAACCAGTATCATTAGGTGATGGTTTAAATTTGAGACACTATTCCAAAGCTGTTCTTACCTGCTGTGCTGTTAAAGTGTCTGAATCTCCATTGCTGCAGTAGTTCTTTGGTTAAAGGGAATAAAATAATTTCAAACCTGGGTAATTGTTAGTTCCATTTAAGACACGGTTGTCAAAGCATCAGTTGCTTTTCTTGGAGCACCACAGACTTTTAAACTGAATCCAGGGTTCTGCCCATATCAGGCCGTTTACGTAGCTGTGTGAGACATTTGCAGTGAACCCTTGAACCAGTTGAGGCTTAGCTCAGGGTCAGTGCTCGCTGTGAATGTGAACGTCAGCCTGGGCTGGCATGGTACCCAAGCACAGGCTAGGGTTTTTCTTCAGGTGTATGCACAGGCTTCTTACGTGGATGCCAAGCATGTCCTGTAGGTTGTGTGGGTCCCTAGGGCCTGTTAATACCCTGGGGGATTGGAGTCTTTGACATCTTGGGGGGGTTTTTCATTTTTAAGGCAAAGTGTACTTTTCTGTATGTTATCCCAGACAAATATTGTTAATGCCAGAGAGGGAGAAAGAAGGGATCCTTGCCAGTTTCTTCACTGTTGAATTTCTTGCATATCAGCATGTAGTTTCAGAGGCAGACAAGTGGGAATATGTACATACCTAGAATATGTAAGTATGCTATTTTCATTTACAGTCTCACCTGGCTGCTGCAGCTTCTGGAGTTTCACCTCTCATTGTGCTGGGTGCAAAAACTGTGGTGAGAGAGACACCACATAGACCTAAAGTGCTAAAGACCAAACTTGAGCTCAGATTTTCATTTCTCCACTTCCTCTAGCCTTGAAACCAATTACCTGTCTCTGTTTTTAGGGCCAAAAGTATCCTGGCTGATCCCTAGTGCAAGTCCATTGGTTTTAATAACTAAGGTGATGATAAATATTTTTGCAAAGTTCCTGGTGTCATCTGCTGCATCTATCAGTGCTGCCAACACAGAAGTTATTTCAGTTTACTCTCAGGTTCTCTACAGCTTCAGGCTTCATCATGTCTTCTCAAGCCCTGCCCATATACCCGGTAACACTAATGGTGCAGAGTTCATGCACATTTTATCGTGATCTAATCTGCAAGTTGTTTGAATATGCATCACCGTGTTCAATCTCATTACGGGAATCCGAGGCTGGGGAACGTGGTGGAGGTTTTTGGGAGCACAAGATTTGCTGGGCTCCTGGCAGGCATTTTAATCTCTCCAGGCTTGAAGCCAGCTGGGTTCTTTGAGGCTCTGCCTCAGCTTGCTCCTTGCCTAGACAAGGTGGGGTCTGGATCACATTACGAGCACTGAAAGCTGACATCTGCTTGCCTTGGGCTTGGGGAGCTGCTCGCTGCTGTTTGCTGGGGCTTCTGTGGCTGGCCTGGGGGCTGCATAACTCTGCACACAGGTCTGGCTGCTCCTGGCTGGGCTGCAGCACTCTTTGGCAGCAAGCACTGCCCGGGGCATCGCCCAGCACCCTGCAATCCTGCTGGGAGCTGTGGCTGCAGCGATGCTGGAGACTACTCATCTGGGTCTCAGTGGTGAGGCAGGACCAAGCCCACAGCCCTGCCACACGGACAGAGCTTTGGGTTCTTGTATCTGAACTGCCCGTAATCGCCAGCTTCTGGGGTTGGGAAATTTTGGGTGATCAGTGGGAGGGGGCTGAAGACTCAGGCCTCAAACCAAACTCATCTTTCCCCAGGCTGCCAAGGGAGAGGTCTAACAGAGCATAGGAACATGGAGGGAAAAGTCCTCTCACCCAAATGATTTCAGCTCATAGGGTATCTCCAGGGGATCATAGCTTGATGTACCTCCAAATAATGACAGCTCTCCTCTCTGTGTATCTTCTTCTTGGTCTTCTACGCAGATTTCTTGCTTCCCAAATCCCCATTTATCTCTGCAGGAAACTCATGATCAGATTTGATTTTTTAGTTCTATGGAAATTGCAAATTAAGCTCCCTTTTCCTTCACATCTGCTGAATTCTTATTTCTTACCTCTAAATGGGACCACACCCTTTAGCAGCAATTCTCATGATAAAAGCTTTCATGCTGGATATTTTTAGACAGAACTGAGCAAGATACAATGAAAAAGACAGGACACGTATCTGCTACATTTCTGATTGCACGTGTTCCAGAGGAGGGCTATACACATCGCTGACTTTGCCAAGAACAAGCGTACCTTTTCCGAGAAGCTTGGCAGAGAATGCATGCATTGAGAAGGGAACAAGCAGGCCCAATGTGCTTTGCTGTCCTTTTGCATGTCACCAATGAACTCACACCATTCTGCATGAGTTTTAATAGGAATGCTCTGGTACAGCGAACAAAGGAACAAAGCAGGGATGTAATATGAGGGCTCATACACGCTGGACCTGGCTTTGCAGCACTGTGAGATGGCACCAGGTGCCAAACTAAATCGCTCTTTTTACACCTCTTAATATTTCACTTTGGAAAGCTGTTTTGAACAATGTGCTGGCTTTAAAGTCTTGGTGCAGATGGTGGTAAACAACAGAGTTTTTTCCTGCAAATGGACTTGTCTCAAGGAGGGCTGGGCTCTAGTAGGTGTTGTCTGTCTGGTGTCTGTGGAAACCAAACACATCAGGAAGGAGGATACCCAGGGTATTAGGTGTGCCACTCACCTAGACATACCTCAGTCACCACGAAGTCTGGAAGACTTCAGCCCTTGCTATGTAAGAAATGTCTGGTGCCTTGCCACACACACTGGAACTAATTTTTAGTCTTGCTGGCAGTCTTGCAAGTACATCAGTAGCTGAAGGGGTGTGGAGATGAAATCCGACCGAGATGTCTCAGTACACAAAGTGAAAGCTTGGGGCTGGCTGCGCAGCACAGACTCCAAACGCAGGGATTTCTGGCAGTTGGTACCCGGTGAGCAGCACTGTTAGTTGAGTCACAACGACTGATAGTTGGATGGAGCCGTGCTCCTGGCTGTGCTCAAACATAAAACTACTGTACTGCTAGAACTGCTCGTGGTCATTAAAGACCCCCACAAGCATGTTTTGCAAGAGCTTGGGTGTTAGTCCCCGTGTTCTGGCTGGGTTTCCCCAGTGCCTTTACCTCAACTCCCACTGCATTTTCAACTGCATACATTATTGCTTATTCCACTCTTTACAAATGCAGTGCTGCAGTTAATAAGGGCTGCATTGGCTCCTGTGGGATCAACACGTATCAGTGCTGGGTGAAGTCATCCTCATAAGTGCAGTCTTTAAAGTGCATTAAGACCCTCCAAGAAGCAAGTGAGACGTAATGTAAGGAGGCCTTGTTATTTTTGTCTACCTTTTGCCATTTGGAAGAATCAAAATACCCCCTACAATAACAATGCTATATCGTCCCTTCACTTAGCACGTTTAATGGAGCACATTTTACTCTAGAAAACATAAAACCTAGGCTTAACACTGCCAAAGCCTGGCATCATTTATTTTCTCCTCTTATGCTTCAGATAGATCCAATACAGCATATTTAAAACAAGAAAGGTTAAAATAAACAACCTGATTCATTTTACTTGCTTTTAAAAATATGTAAAGATTTTTTTTATTTTTTTTTTATTTTTTTATTTTTTAGATTTATAACTGTAGCAGTAATGATTTCTGCCTTCTGTTGTAACAGGTAAAGTTATGGTCTCATTTGAAAAGAGCAGCCCTGCAAAATGAGCATCACTGAATGAGACGTTTGCATCAGGCATTGGCCCTGGCCAGTGTTTATTCACTGAAACATGCCACTGCATTGATCTAGGCCAAGAAGTCTAAAGAGTGGTACTTTTTAAACATATCTGTGTGATTTAGGGGAGGAGCTTTTCAGTGGGATGTGTCCTCCAACTAACTTGTGAGATTTGACAGGCATTAAACACCTAAAATGTCAGAAATTTCTGAAAGGCTATGTGCCAGAAGTTCTCCAGGAGTAGTGTGATAAGCAGCTTTGGAAATCATCTCCCTTTTTTAGGGATCTAGACCTGCTTTTGGGAAACTCAGTCTCAGTTTCTGTTTTTCATAAATGTGGCCCTAGCTTTCATCTTCAAAATTTACTGGGATGCATGCTCTTTTTACGTCGTAGTGGCATGGGTCAGGATGAAAAGGGGAAGAATCAAAGAGAAGTAGAATCTCAACTTGCATTGGTGAAACCTTATCCTGTTTATTAACTCTGGTCTGTGAGCCACAGTATATTGTGCTTGGATCTCGTAACACTCCATTTTAGAAAATAATAGTCAAAGTGAGTGTTTTAACCAGAGTATGAGGGTTTTAATATAAAATGTGCCTTTCCTTTAAATTGATTGCAAATGTACTTTCCAAATATTTTACTTTGTAAAAAGAATTCTTGGAGGAATTCCAGTGACTGGTACTTTCCAGCTAGCTAAATGCAGATAATTCCCCTTTTAAATATGCTTTGAAAGGTTTTGCAAATCCTGGCTGTATCGTTCGGAACAATGGCTTGTATAAAATAGTGCAAGCTAATCCAAGCAGCTTTTACCCCTGTGTGAAAGGCAAGGTTCCCATGTTGGAAGCAAGGCAGATGATCTTTCCTTGGCATTGCCTGCAGGGAACACACATGCTGTGGATGTCTAGCACAGGTAGTGCTGGTTATGGCAGTACCTGGAAGGTGAAAGCTCTAGCTGCATTTCAGTGCTGGTGGTGTGATGCCAGAGAGCTCCAAATCCATTATAATGTGCCCAGCACAACTTCTTCTGGACTGTAATGCTTCCATTGGTGTCCATTGACCCAGGTTTTTTGTTTGGTATAGGCAAGAGAGTTCAAGTGATTTGTCATAGGCCATTCAGAAAAGCAGAGGAAGATAGGGACCTGGATTTCATCTGGCTCAAAGGATAAATGAACCCATATTTAATATAGGCATTTCACAAGGTGAACTGAAAGTTGCATTTATTTCATGCTATTTGAATCTAAGGGGAAAATTGGGAGTAGCAATCCACAAAAATAATTTTCTGTAGCACCTGCTCTTGACTAAGTCTCCCTAATGGTGTTGAAAGAACCCAATTTCTCCTTCTTGAAATATTCATCAAAAACTTCATCAAACAGATGGGTGAATATAGGCATGATTTCCATCTTCATTAAATTAACGTCAGGTATTTGAAAAATCAGTCCTTTAATAATGTATAAATATTTTCTTCTTGAAGTAACTGCCTGATTTTCCCCACAAGGACTGGTTTCTACTTTTTGTAATAAGACCAACTTATGATGGAAGAGCTGCCAGTGCATGTATACTTGCAGATGTGTTCTTTGA